CTGCCGCAGCCCCGAGAGCCACCGCGGCCTGGCACCAGGCTGTGGACTGGCAGTTGGGAACCAGTGCTGTAGACTTAGCACTCTGACCCAGGAATGTGACTTGATGCCCTCCAAAGCCAGGGCACCCACTACCCTAGGACTTGGTTCTGAGCCTGGATCAACTGATCCAAACCCTGGTTAATGTTACCCCAAAAATATTCCTGCCGCAGCCCCGAGAGCCACCGCGGCCTGGCACCAGGCTGTGGACTGGCAGTTGGGAACCAGTGCTGTAGACTTAGCACTCTGACCCAGGAATGTGACTTGATGCCCTCCAAAGCCAGGGCACCCACTACCCTAGGACTTGGTTCTGAGCCTGGATCAACTGATCCAAACCCTGGTTAATGTTACCCCAAAAATATTCTCACTGGAGACCACCCAGGGTTACACTAGCATGGGTCTATTGTTTGAGGAATTAGCACGACCCTATTTGCACTACAAGCTTAAAGCAAAGAAGACAGAGCTGCCATCAAAGGTTTAAGCTAAAGAAGGAACCAGCTCTCTCTTTCACACACAAACAAACAAGCATCTCTTCACACACACACACACACCCTGTCCCCATTCATTCACTCCTTCACACACAGTCACTCCTGCACTCACACAGGAACATGGGTTGCAGAAGGAGCCGAGGCATGTTGGTTCTGGAGGGTCTGTCTGCTTCTCATTGCTGGAGAGCTGGTCAGGAGCATAGACATGGGCTTTAGAGAGAGAGAGAGAGAGAGACAGACAGACAGAGAGACAGAGAGATATCTCACATCTGCTCCTCTCCTTAAATAGTATCTGAACGGCTCCTGTGACTCATTCACCTCATCAGCAGGGAGCATGCCCAGACTTCCCTTTATCCAGCAAAAGCCGCAGTTAATGATGACTTATCACCACGTGCTCTAGTCAGCACTGCAACTTCAAACAAAACACACAAGCATGCACAAGCACACACACAGGGGAGAATGCAGTTCCGAGCAGGTTACAGAGTGACTGAAAGTTACAAAGGTTACAGAGTTTCAGCTTACCATAAGTTTGGGTATGCTTACACCTCCACCCTAGTTCCAACTAGGGTGGCTAATGTAGGCATTCGAACTTGCAAATGAAGCCCAGGATTTAAATATCCTGGGCTTCATTTGCATGTTCCCGGGCGCCGCCATTTTTAAATGCCCCGTAGTTCGAACTGCCTGCCCGCAGCTACACGCGGCACGGACTAGGTAGTTTGAATTGAAGCTCCTAATGCGAACTACCGTTATTCCTCCTGCAAGGAGGTTTAACGGTAGTTCGAATTACGAGCTTTAATTCGAACTACCTAGTCCGTGCCGCATGTAGGGCCGTCCCTTTCTTCCAGGATCTTGGTCCCAAACCCTAATTCTCACCTCCCAGGGAACAACTCCAGCAACAGAGAATAAAGCAAATTCTCCTGCTGCTTTCCACAGCTCCCCCAAAGAAATTTTTCTAACAAAAAGACCATCACCAGTGTTCCCTCTAATCTTTTCCTTTCATATGTGGATTTTTATATCCACGTGCAGAATAATTTTTATGTGCACCGAGGCATGCACCAAAGTGTACCAACAGCAGACACAAAACCTACCTGTGGGTGCTCTATTAATCAGCAGGATGGCATTTGAATCTCTCCCAAGTGGCTCCACCAGTGCACGGCTTACAGAGAATTCTGAACACCAACACCGTACCTCTTCCTTGACTAAAAACTTGCTCGCACATTAGGAAAAACAACTTGTAAGACTATAACACTGGGACTATTCGCGGACCTTTGGCCTAACAGTCTTATGAACTCCTGAGCTGTGTTTCTAAGTACTTTCTAGTCACAGGCTCTTACTCACCATTGACAGAGACTTTGGTTTCTGGTTCAGTGTTTGGAACAATATCATTTATATCCAGCGATTTCACCTTCGTTACCTGTTCCCCGCCTGTGAAAAGGAGAGAAGACACCCTTAGGGAAAATATGAGCATCCCATGGTCTTCGCTGCTACTCTTTGTCCTGGGTCACCTCCTGTGGGCGTGCGCAGAGCACGATGCTGGGGGATGCAGGAATCAGGGTTGAGGCGTGAGGAGGGGCTCAGGACAGGGTGTTGTTCTGTGGGGACATGTAAGAGCCAGGGCAGGGAGTGGGGGGGCTAAGAGCAGGGGGTGGTGATGCAGGGAATCAGGGCAGGAAGTTGGGTTTGGAGGGGCTCAGGGCAGAGGTTGTTATCTGGGGGGGTGCACGAGTCAGGGTTGGGGAAGGTGAGGAGGGGCTCAGGGCAGGGGGTTGTTATGTGGGAGGGGGGCTGTAGGAGTCAGGGTTGCATTGTATGTAAGAGAGCAGTGTGGTTGCTCAGAGCTCCAGTATATAGAGGGAGAAAAGTGTGTTAAGAGTCTATGGCAGTGGTCCCCAACATGGCGCCCACTGGGGCATTTATGTGCACCCGCCGAGCGATCAGGGCCGGCCCCAGGCCCCGAGCGCATGGCACATGTACAGCCCCCACACCAGGTGCACAGCACATACGTGGCCCCTGCCCTGGGCATGTGGCACATATGTGGCATCGCCCCCGGGCACACGGTGCATGCCCAGCCCTGCCCCTGGGTGCCCGGCAGCCCCAAAAGGTTGGAGACCACTGGACTGTGGGTTAAGTTTAGAGGTGGAAGCAACAGGGGTGATATGGTTGGTGTCTGCTGGATCAGGTGGATGAGGTAGATGAGGCTTTCTTCAGACAACTGAGCGAAGCTTCCAGATCACAGGCCCTGGTTCTCATGGGGGACTTTAATCCCCTTGATATCTGTTGGGAGACCAATCCGGCAGGACACAGACAATCCAGGACGTTTCTGAAGAATGTTGGGAATAACTTCTTGGTACAAGTGCTGAAGGAATCGACCAGGGGCTGTGCACAGCTTGACCTGCTGCTCACAAACAGGGAGGAACGAGTAGGGGAAGAAGATGTGGGTGAGAACCTGGGAAGCAGTGATCACAAGATGGCAGATTTCAGGATCCTGACCAAAGGACGAAAGGAGCGTAGCAAAATACACACCCTGGACTTCAGAAGAGCAGACTTTGACTCCCTCAGAGAACTGATGGGCAGGATCCCCTGGGATGCTAATATGAAGGGGAAAGGAGCCCAGGACAGCTGGTGGTATTTTAAAGAAGCCTTATTGAAGGCTCAGGAAGAAACCAGCCCGATGTGCAGCAAGAAAAGCAACTAAGGTAGGAGACCAGATTGGCTTACTGGGGACATGCAACTCCTTTGAGAGGAAGGTTAGCCACAGGGCCCAGACGTTATCCTTGGACCATGAACATAGATTTATTCCTCGCCCCGGTGCAGGCCCACTCCTTAAATCGTCACCGGCGCCCTGTCCAGCACTCTGCGGAGCTGGCGTGGCCTACGACTGATGGCTCTTGGGCATTAGCAGGGAGGGCAATCTAGGCAGCACTGCCCCAGTCCCGCCCCTTCCATCTGAAGACCCGCCCATTCCGGGAGAGTGGAGCTGCCCCCCACACCTTACCCAGGGGCTTGGCAAGTCTGTCGGCTCACCCGCTCTGGTGCAGAGTCCATGTACAATAGGGGCGGGGAACCTTTTTTGGGTCAGGGCCACTGACACACAGAAAAATCAGTCAGGGGCTGCACACAAAGTGAGAAACAAAAAGAATCCACCCCTCACCAGCATGGGCTCCCCAATGGTGGGGGGAGGCCCGAGCCTCAGGGGACGGATCCTGGAAAGCTGGAGGCTGCATCTGCTCCCCAGGCCTTAGGTTCCCCAACCCTGATGTATAGCTCCTGCAGAATGAAAGGGTATGTCTACACTACCCTCCTAGTTCGAACTAGCAGGGTAATGTAGGCATACCGCGCTTGCAAATGAAGCCCGGGATTTGAATTTCCCGGGCTTCATTTGCAAGCGCGGTATGCCTACATTACCCTGCTAGTTCGAACTAGGAGGGTAGTGTAGACATACCCTTTCATTCTGCAGGAGCTATACATCAGGGTTGGGGAACCTAAGGCCTGGGGAGCAGATGCAGCCTCCAGCTTTCCAGGATCCGTCCCCTGAGGCTCGGGCCTCCCCCCACCATTGGGGAGCCCATGCTGGTGAGGGGTGGATTCTTTTTGTTTCTCACTTTGTGTGCAGCCCCTGACTGATTTTTCTGTGTGTCAGTGGCCCTGACCCAAAAAAGGTTCCCCGCCCCTATTGTACATGGACTCTGCACCAGAGCGGGTGAGCCGACAGACTTGCCAAGCCCCTGGGTAAGGTGTGGGGGGCAGCTCCACTCTCCCGGAATGGGCGGGTCTTCAGATGGAAGGGGCGGGACTGGGGCAGTGCTGCCTAGATTGCCCTCCCTGCTAATGCCCAAGAGCCATCAGTCGTAGGCCACGCCAGCTCCGCAGAGTGCTGGACAGGGCGCCGGGCCCATGGGAAGTGACTGGGTAGGAAGGAGTCCAGCAGAAAGGGATCGAGGGGTCATAGTGGACCACAAGCTAAGCATGAGTCAATAGTGTGACACCGGTGCAAAAAAAGCAAATATGATCCTGGGATGCATTAGCAGGAGTGTTGTGAGCAAGACACGAGAAGTCATTCTTCTGCTCTATTCTCCACTGATTAGGCCTCAGTTGGAGTATTGTGTCCAGTTCTGGGCACCACATTTCTAGAAAGATGTGGAGAAATTGGAGAGGGTCCAAAGAAGAGCAACAAGAAGGATGAAAGGTCTAGAGAACAAGAGCTATGAGGGAAGACGAAAGAACTGGGCTTATTTAGTTTAGAAAAGAGAAGACCGAGAGGGGACATGATAGCAGTTTTCAAGTATCTAAAAGAGTGTTACAAGCGGGAGGAAGAAAAATTGTTCTCCCTAGCCTCTGAGGATAGGACAAGAAGCAATGGGTTTAAACTGCAGCAAGGGAGGTTTAGATTGGACAATAGGAAAAAATTCCTAACTCTCAGCGTGGTTAAACACTGGAATAAATTGCCCAGGGAGGTTGTGGAGATATTTAATAGCAGGTTGACAGACACCTGTCAGGGATGATCTAAGGCGCTTGGACCTGCCATGAGGGCAGGGGACTGTCCCTTCCAGTTCTACGATTCTATAAAGACAAACGGGAGGAAGAAAAATTGTTCTCCCTAGCCTCTGAGGATAGGACAAGAAGCAATGGGTTTAAACTGCAGCAAGGGAGGTTTAGATTGGACAATAGGAAAAAATTCCTAACTCTCAGCGTGGTTAAACACTGGAATAAATTGCCCAGGGAGGTTGTGGAGATATTTAATAGCAGGTTGACAGACACCTGTCAGGGATGATCTAAGGCGCTTGGACCTGCCATGAGGGCAGGGGACTGTCCCTTCCAGTTCTACGATTCTATAAAGACAAATCCTCATGGTTACTCACCTGCTGCAGCTGGATCCAGCACAACGGAAATAACTGATTTTGTTACTCTCGTCCCTTCAGGCTAGGAAAGTACAAGAAAGACCCAGTCAACGTGTAACTAGAGCTATTTGCGGTGTCATTGTAAACAGGTTGGTCCCAGGACCGAGGTGACGATTCTTCCTAAAAGTGGAAGCTCCATCTCCCTCTGTGGCTCCCCCCCACCCCCGCCTCTCTCCCCAAGACCCTGCCCCCTAGCCAAGCAGGAATCTGGAGCTGGGCCCAACTTCCTGCCTGTGGTTGAGAGGGCCGGAGAGCAGCCCTTGACCCACGTCCCCACCCCTGGGTGCCCCAAGTGACATGTCCACGGCTTCTCACAGCTGACGAGGCCCCCCAGGCTGCTCTTACCTGGGTTCCAGCTTCCAGTCTGGCTGGGGGACAGGGCTGGGCCCATGGTGAAAAGTGTGAGGATCCCCTACCCCCCCCCGGTTCCAGTGCCCCGGTTGCAGGGTATGAGCGAGACAGGGGAGGAAGGGTCAGGCAATATCTTTTCATGCCTAATCTACATCTCGTTCCACGAGGAGTAACGGTAGTTCGAATTAGAGAGCCTAATTCAAACTACCTACTCCGTGCCGCGTGTAGCCGTGGGCACGGAGTCCAC